AAATATGCCATGCTGGCCAGACAGCAGCCACGGCTATCTGAACTGGTCCTGTGTGCCCCCCTTCATCAACCCCGCACTGACCAACATGGTGAAGCATTTTCAATCAGCCCTCGAAGGCCGACAAGGCACGGAAAACCCTTTCTTCTGACAGTGGTATGACAAAGCGCCTGAAAATTGTGACTTTTTTTGGTTGCAATTGTGAACAAAAGCCATATCAGACACGAGTACATCTAATCGGCATAATCATTGGTTCACTATAGCTCAAAGACTCAGTCCCTACAAGGCGAAGTTAGAAGATGTTTCGTGTGTGCGTGAGCTCGGCATTTGAAGGCCTGAAGACCGGAATCGGTGATTTCGCCAACAATGTGTTCAGGAAGGCAGTTCCATATATTTGTACAGCAGAGTGAAGGGAGCTTCTGTCCAGGAAGCAATGCTACTGGGAACTGGGAGGGGAGGGGGCAAGGGCCTGGCTTGGCAGGTTTGTGCATAATCGAGAGGAATCGAAGATGCGGAATTCCTTCATGCCCATGACCAAATCGCGCTAAATGCACCACATCTGTGAGATCTCGAGAGCTATAGAGGGGTTGAGCTGGGTTAGCAACTTGGCTGGGTAACCACCAGCGCCGTAAAATGGCCAGGAGGTGGCAGTGATGTGGGTTATCCTCCTGCATGTGTGGTGGGGTTTCTCTGCTGCGTCCCGACATATGCAAAAACACTCAGTTCAGGGAATTGGCCAAAAACAACCAAAATGTAGCGGGACCTTCCTAAAAACAAATTATTGAGACTCAGTGAGATTTTCCCGAGGTAAATAATAGGATTTTATTATTTACTTCAGGAAATAATAAATTGACGCGTTCTAACCCCCCAAAAAGTGTATTATTAATGATATTGGTGTCGAAAACCTACGTGTTAAACTGAAGATTGAATTATTATTGCTTCGAACGTCAGCTACGACATCGGCCACATCCATGGAAATGCCCCATCGAAAACAACGAAGACCCTATCTGTACGCGCTGTACTGGTGTTAACAAAAAATATATATATACAAATAAATAAATGCACACTCATGATTGAGGTTTAAAGCTTAGAAGAGCCCCGTGAGTGAGCGACCCCTTCACCTGCCTGATTTCTAGGACCAACACTGAACTGCCTAAGCCCATGACTGCGGATTTCCAATAATTTTAAACCCCATTGCAGCGACAGTGGAGTAATGCAAAGAAAACATGAAAAAAATACATTTGTTGATATTAATCCAGTGATACATTCCTTCACGGTGCACGATGATGACACTACCCAGGTATTTTCTGCAAAGAATTGAATCAGTCGATAATGTACAGCACTTTTGTCATTTTTTGCTTCCGGATTGGAGAGCTCCTCACGCTGATCAATGCCGGTTGGCGGTATTGAGGACCGGTTCGGATATCACCACCGATGTTATCATGGCCAGGGATCGAACTCCGGTCACTGCATTCACAGTGCAGTGTCCGCAGCTTTGACTCCCTGAGCACGAGGATCCCCACTCGAACCCTGGGCACTGCTTTCCAAACAACGACAATTGAACTTTTAGCAAGGACACTTAAACAGTTTTATTTCTTTCTCACAAAATGGAATTGAAATGTTCATTTTAATATTCAGATATTCTACTAAAACCGCGGCCGGTGGGTGGCTCACAGATAACACCTTCGTTTTTTTTCTCTCTCTTAAACTACATCTGATAATTTTAAATAATCGACCTGCACACACCATTTACATATCCTGGTCCATCAATGTACCTCCCTTGACAGAGGCTTCTCCTTTTTAAATGCAATATCTCATTTCAATCCATCCCGTGCCACGGGGCTAACCACCAAATATGAGCCTTCAAAGACAGCTCTGTGGAGCATTTACAATTTCCTAAACGTTTTAATTGCTATGGTTACATCTTAGCACGAACTAACGTGCTAAGGTTTTATCTTTACCATTTTTTCTATTTAAAATTGTATTTAACAGTTAACCATCGTTTTAATTCTGATAAATAACACCAAAGCAAATAGGGGCTTAAGTCATATCATCACTGCAATAAATTACACATAATTTATCATTACCAGTATATTGTAAAAATTCATATTATTTCACCTACTAAAGCGTGTCCATTTATAAGAATGAAACATCACACAGATTGCTCCACTAAATAATAATTTTACAGCTGTCACATGGGATAAATTCAGAAATCATGCATCCTGGGCTTGCCGGCACTTTATTCTTTGCGTGCACGTCACAGTCGCGTGAGCACTGCAGCACGGGCACCGGGGATAGCTACACAGCTCCGTAGCAATCCCTCTGGGAGTCTCTCGCTTCGTTGGGAAATTAAAAAATTTGGTGGAAGGTCGTGGTGGGTGCAGAGATGTGCCACGGCGATCAGAGAAGTCACCGTCGTCTTTAATTCACCGAACCGAATGTTTGGTGGTAAAGATTAAAAAAAACGGATTTATATTCGTCGCTGTGCGCGTTTTAAATGCCTACGTTTGTCGAGCTTTTCGGAGAAGTGGTGCCCACCGTCCAGACGTCTTGATGAATGTTGACGTCATGAGTTAGAGGGCATTCGGCACATTGAGCAGATGTGAGCTAAACAAAGGAGTTCAACTGCTGAGAACGCACGGTCAAGCAGAGAGCAGCATTTGTTTGGACTTTTTCAAACTCTCTACTCGATTATGCAGTGGAACAGAGAGCCCTTCGGGCCCTGGTATGTGCCAGAGCAGTGGGCTATTGCTTCGTTTTAAATTTTTACCCAGGACGCCCATTTCCAACGAATTTATATCTGTGTCATGTGAACAGCAGTCGTGAATTTTATGACTGTCGTTGTGGAGGAAATGAAAGCTGTTCTCAGGGCCGAAGTCGCCCTGCTTTGTAAAACTTAAGCGCTGGCATTTGCTTGAATGTCCAGTAAAAAAAAAAGTCCAACTGACAAATGAGACTTTTGAATAATAATCCTACGAAATAAATCTCACTGCTGGATTTTCCCACCGCACAAGCTTGACTCGAAATGAATAGAGCTGCCAAAAAAATAGCCCCCGCTTCCATCTGACCAACAAACATTAGCACCCATTCTCTTTCTCTTTGTTGGTACAGCACAATGGGTGATCAATTCCCACCTACAGCATCAAAGTAAATGTATTTACATGGTAAATAACAGCCACAATTGCTCAAAACCATGAAACGAGAGGGTTTTCTGTATAGTTTTAACACTGACTTCCAAAGGATTTAACAACCTATACAAAAGTATTCTGAATTGTGTTTCACTATATATCTATGCACTGTGCATATATAAATATGTGGAACGCTGCCATGCGGTAATGGTTAACACACTGAACTTGCAATGCAAAAGCTAAATGTTCAACTCCATGTCCTAGGGCTGCAGTTGGGAAAGTTTCCCCAATCCACCACTGCCTCTGCCCACCCAGCACTATGAATGGTTTCACCACGGTTACTCGATCGGCTTCGTCACGTGTGATGGGGTCACGTGTGGGTAATCCCAGCATGGAAGTGGAGACCAAATACCCATCGAGGTACGTCCAGTGGAGGCCCTTGCACCAGCAGTGGCGGGAGCAAGCAATTGCAGGGCTGCGCATTTACCTTATATACATACAAATTGTGAACAAGCTTGGCTTCCCATTTTGCAAGCTCAAACATTGTAAATGTGAAACTTTAGATTAGGTAAAGTCACGTAGGTGAAAATAAAATAACAAAAAATCACGACGTTTTGGCCACAACACAAGCGGCCTTCATCAGGTGAAGGGACAGCGCTGTCTGGAGGACAGCTGTCTGGAGGACAGCGCTGTCCTCCAGACAGTCTCGTCCCTTCACCTGATGAAGGCCGCTTGTGTTGTGGCCGAAACGTCGTGATTTTTTGTTATTTTATTATCACCTACGTGACTTTACCCAATAGAACCAAAGAGTATGGATCCTAGCAGTCACGAAAGCTTTAAATCTAAAAACTTTAGATTAGACACAGCGGTTAAGAGACGGTGTATCTATGAACCCTGTGGTATGAGCTTGATTCCCGGTCACAGATAACATATGGACCTCTCCCCCCCCCATCCCACCAACTTCACCAACCTTCATTGACCAGCGTGGTGAAGTATGGCCAAACAACCCCCATGACTGACATGGCCCCTGGGGGAGGGGAGGGAGAGGCGCTTCATCCAGCAGTGGATTAACCAAGAGTTGTAAAGTATTCGTATTATATATTTTTTTTATACGAAACGTTAAGTAATAAAGAGAATTACATTTAGATAAAAACATGTTAACAAGTTGGTAGTCATCGAGGAAGCATAGAAATATATTGTTAACAATGACGAGAAGACATTGTGTCACTTGTCTTCCTGAACGGGAGTTGTGCTCTTTATATCTTTATAAATCCGTCCTTGAAAGTGATTAATAAATTAATTCGAAGTTCTTAATAAGGCACACTCCCTCCCGCTGTCGGTAGCCTATTTATTTATTTAATCGCAACCCGCCTTCAACATCTGTTCCAGGTTCACGTATTCCGTTGTGTTTTTTTCTCCCATTTGTATCCTTCTAATGGATATCTCTAATTGCTTAGCAAGCTTGTCGCATGTAACGTTTGCTTCCGTTGCATTTATCTTGAGCCCAACGTTGCAGTCTCCTTAATTACATTTCCCCTAATTCAAGTCGTTATATTGATGGTGTCATCAGAAGCCCTCAGATGGTGAATATTTGTACGGCCAGGGGCGGAGCCAGGATTTCAGGCCGGGGTGACATTCAACAAATGTTAATTTCAAGAATGATTTAGAGAGTCAGGCTGTTGAACTAGACGCCATCGGTTGGCGGACACGCTCTGACAATGCAGTTGCACGGAGTCCGCCAGACCGAGTGTTGTACACTTATACGCAGAATGTCACCCCTGTCACCCCCCCCCCCCCCCGGCTCCACCCCTGTTTGTACCCAATTTATTTGTATGCCTTTGTCTCCCCGTTGCAAATTTCAGAAAACATCTTCTCTCGTCGCTGCGAAAAACTTTGGTGACGCTGGCACTCGCGCGAGTACCAACGTTGGCGTGAGCGAAGCAATGGGGTGAACATTCCATGCTGCCGAAAGAATTTCGAATCGACGACAAAAGGAATGCAGAGGGCAGCAGAAACGAGGATACCCAAACAGGACTTCAAACTCCAATGAGATCTTTGTGCATGGCAGTGCGACATTGCCTCCACGTGGCGGATTGGTTGAATTTCACATAAATTGAGAAGTGTTTAAACCCCCGAGTTTTGCAGAGCGCCCCTTTTGCCGCAGCTATGAGCGTTATGGTGTTGCTCTCCGTAGCCTTTGGCACACTTAAAACAAGTGGCTCTTTGTACGACGCAAAGCCCTTCTTAGGCACTCGCCGCTCGCCACAGCGATCGGGTGTCGCGAGTTCATTTTGTACGTCGGTGAAAATACTCGCCGCGCGCAACAGAATGGCATGTTTCAAGGAATTAACAAACAAAAAAGTACACGCGATTATGTTAATGCGCCGTCTCCGTGAAATTGTCGGCTGAAACTAAAACGCGGCGTCAAGTTTCCAATCGCGTCGCTATTTACAGCCAGCGCCAAACCGCTGCCAGTATCTTGGTGCAGTCCGGCATAGTTTGGGTCGGTTTGGAAGCGAGGGCCGGTGCCAGAATGGGGCACATGCGCTGCGTTGCGCAAGACGCGAAGGCAGATGTCTGCATCCGCTTGTGCGTGCCGGGTTAAATTTCCGAAACCAAAAAAAAAATAACCGGCGGATTGAAGGGGACGTGCGTGGCAGTTTGACACTCGCTGCCGGAGAGAGAGAAAAGCACGACAAAGACGAGGACACAGAGTCCGCCACTTCGACATTACGAACGGACCCGGCGCCAAATTGTTTCTCGTTCTCCTTCATGGTGGAACTACTCGCAGAGCCCAATCGCGTTCTCCTCCTGCACGTCGACGGCGGCGGACTTGTGGGACACGTTCCTCGCAGCGGCGGACGGCGCAGGGACATGCACATTGCCCCGGCGGTCGGAGCCCGAGCAGCAACCCAGCGCCTGGCTGTTATTAGGCTAACGAGCAGTTAGGGGGGCGCGGGGGGGGGGGGGGGTGTTCGCCATGTCAAGGAAGAACAGAGCACCGAAGCTCAGGTGTTACGTCGACGCGCCAGACGGAGGGTGGGGATGGATCATCGTGCTCCACTTCTTCATGGTAAACGATGCCCCCCCCACCACCCCCAAGTTGTTTCCTTGCAGCTGCCGCTTTTTAATTGATTTGTGTGTGTTACCCTGCACGGGTTTACAGCAATTAATTATAGTTATAAAAAAAAACGTTTATATATAATGGCGGGTTTTTTTCTTGCGCCCTGACCCCCCCCCCAAAAAAAAATATTTTGCGGGGCTTTTTGTTGAAAGTGCGCGGCGAGTGGAAGAAAAATTCGCGTCGGTGAATCTCGCCGGACTTTGGCGACAACCGCTCCCTTGGCGGCAATCGGCGGCTGCTGCTGTTGCTGCTGCTTCGGCGGCTGCTGTTGTTGCTGTTGCTGCGGCTGTTTCTGCTGCTTCGGCTGCTGCTGCTGCTGTTGCTGCTGCTGCCGGTGGCTGGTTAAGTGAAATTCTCCCGTTATAATGAGCCAGAAGACTTCGCCTCCACGCTCAAACCGCGGCGGCGTCGTTGTTATTGTTGTTACTTGAGGCTGCTGCAAGGTGTTGGTGAAATGTTTCGTCGTCGAACGCGTCTTAGATGCGGGGGGGAGGGGGGGAATAGCAGACAAAATCCGAGTTCATTATTTCATTGTTTTACCGCGTGAGAGCCGGCGATGGTGTTCATTAACCGTTTTAAAAGAAAAAAAAATCGGCTATTTTTAATTATGCAGGAGCAGTTATTATACGTGTGTATTTTAATCTATTCATATTACTTGCAAGTCATTTGTTTTAACAAAAATGTGGAATTTGGTCTGCGCACTGGATTTTAACAATTATTTAGGATCCCATTCATTTCACAGGAATAAAATGCCCTATTCGGTTTGTTTTACAGTGGTGTACAATATATTAAGATGCGATCAACAACAAGGGTTGGTGCAGTGGTGCAATGGTTAGGTTCACTGCACTGTGAATCGGGCAACTTCAGTTGGATTTCAGGCCACAGCTAACATCATTGGTGAGCGATACCCGATCTTGGGCACCCGTGTGGTGACCTATTGCTCGAACAACGTCCAATTCTGACGTGGCATGTGCAGGAGGGCCCTCATCCAGCAGTGGGTTGACAATGGGCCGTAAATTATTATCATCAGGATAAGTATTATAATCTAAGTATTTTATAACGGGCTGACGTTTCAGGAAATGGCTCCTCTTCAGGGCCGACATGTTGAATGACTTACAGCTAAAGATTTAACAAAAGCAGGGCACATTGGCAGTACCACTCACTCGGTTTGGTGGGGCCACTTCTGGGTAAAACCCACAGAACTCTAGAAGCCGTGACTGACAAAGTTTGGGGGAGGCTGGATAGACGGCGAAATAATGTCAAAATACCTCAGTCAATGAGAGCAATATCTGCCTGTGACAGGTGAACGTCTTGGTGATGGGGATGCTGAAATCCTTCGGCTTCTTCTTCGTGGCATTCCAAGAGGAGTTTTCGGAGAACGCCGAGCGAATCAGTTGGATTGGATCCATCATGTCCAGCCTACGCCTCATGGCCGGTGAGCGCGGCTGAGCGACGCACAAAAGAGGACCTCTTAGCCGGGCGCCTTCACAGACGCCGCGCGCGGTGGCTTTCACCCATCACAGTCTCTCCCTCCATTAAGACTTGCGCTTGCACCGCTGAGTTGAAGGTTCGCCTCTTCTTTGGAGTCGCTGCTCAATCAAGCAGGCTCATCCAGCCAGGAGCGAAGCTGTAAAATGCACTTTCATTGCACTATAGCTACGCGAAAATGTGGCTCGGCTGCATTTTTTTTCTGTTCACTCCCTCCACATTTAAATATAAAAAAAGACCTTTAATGCGTAAATCGTTCACTGTGAATGGTAATATAATAATGCCGTTTTATATTGAAAATCGTATTTTACATTAAATTTAAAGACGCAATTTTTGTTGTACAGCAGCTCGCACTGATTTGCATCGTTAATATATTTATGCACGGGGGCTTTTGTGGCTTGCGACGACGATCGAGGCAATTCGCCACGCCGAGGCGAATTGCCGGGCCCGTGACAGACAGCGCTTTAATCGCTCACGTTCCGCTACCTGACGGGCGTCGGCTCCAAAGCGTAAATCACACGAGGCTCGTCAGGATTGCTTACAAATGATTCCACTTACCGGGCAGCTCAGCAAAAAAGTAAAAAAAAAAGGAAATTTGTGCATTTCTACGTAATTTAAATCGACCCATTAACTGTTACTTTCTACGGATAAGAGGAGCGATCCCAAAAGTGGTCGCAAAACTGCCCCAGTGCCAAGCGGCAGATAACATTGGTATTTTTTTAGGGGGTAATAGGGTCCACCAATCACGTGCTCTTCATCACCCCGGAGAAGATACATTTCACTGAATACCACAAGAGACCAATTGCTCCCGGAATGCATCTTGCTTTAAATGTGCATGCCCTCGGCAGAGCATCAAAAACGAATACAAAGACTCCCCGCGTAACCTATAATCGACTGTTGGGTCAAGTGCTGTTAGCGAGCACCTATGAATGCCGGCACGGCGCACGAAGAGGTGGATGGCCAGCAACCACGTCCGGCCGCTGGTGTCTCCCCAGTGCCGATTTCTATACACTACACGAGGTGCAGTACTCATTGAAGGCTGAGTCGACCTAGGGGAGGCCCAGCACCGGTTCACTTATTCGTCGCTAAATATTGAACGAGGGTTACAGGGTCTGTCGAGTCCATCGCGCCGTTAACGGTACAATCACTCGCACACACACATTCATTTTTACTTTAAAGCCACGTGCCAAGTGACAAAGATCCCCCGTATAGCCTTGGCAGACTGTTGGGGCAAGTGCTATTAGCATGTGCCGTGTCGGCCTTCATAGGTGCTCGCACACGAGGGGGTGGGTAGCCAACACCACGCCCGGCCGCCTTTGTCTCCCCAGTGGCGATGTTTACACCGCACCGGGTACTCATTTGATGCTGAGTCTACATAGGGGAGGCCCAGGACCGGTTGAGATAATGGTCACTGGGTGTTGGCCCTGAACGGGAATCGAACCCGGGTCGCCGGGTTCGTAGCGCAGCACGCTAACCGCGACACCACCGCTCCCCGCGTAACAAGTAACAACACACACGCACGCGCACGCGATAACCATCGTCCCTTCTGCCTTCCTTTGGCTGGCTGCCCTTCCAGGACCCCTGGCATCCGTGTCATGTGGGCGACTGGGGGAGAGGGGCACGGCCGTGCTCGGGGGGGTCATCGTGGCCGCGGGCTTCTTCGTGTCTGTGCTCGCGCAGAGTGTGCCCTTCCTGTACATTACTCTGGGCGTGCTGGTAGGTAAGTGACCATAACCAATGCCCTCGAACCCTTTCGCCCCTGCCGGCAGCGGTTTGCCAAAAAAACGAGCGCAGAGTGGGATGGCTTGGCGGTCGGTCTCTGGCTGTGCGGCGGCATCTGTTGTTGGACAGGAAGATGGTACCAAGCGGTCGAGGGCAGTGGTTCTTAACCTGGGGTGCACACACCCCCTGGGGGTGCGAGATGCCCTTTTTGGGGGTAGCGAGACACGGCCAGATTGTTTTATAAAGGGAAATCATCGACGACACAAATTAAAGCGCGTGTACTTAAGTACAACTACTTTGTTTCATAAAACCTTTGTATTTATTAACATTACGTATTTTTAAAATGTATCGATTGAGAACCATAAGGGTGCAAGGCTGCAGTGCAATTTCGATTTGAATCTTTCGTGACTGCAAGGATTCATCTTCTTTGGTTCTTTCGGTAAAGTCACCACGTAGAATGAGAATAAAATAATAAATTGATAAAATAAAACAATAAAATTCTCACGACGTTTTGGCCACAACACAAGTAGCCCTCTTCAGGTGAAGTAACAAAACTGTTGGGACGACAGAGCTCCAATGTCGTCCCGACAGTTTTGTTACTTCACCTGAAGAGGGCTACTTGTGTTGTGGCCGAAACGTCGTGAGAATTTTATTGTCTTATTTTATTTTATTATTTTATTCTCATTCTACGTGACTTTACCGAAAGAACCAAAGAAGCTGCAGTGAAAGTTAAGAACCGCTGCTCTAGAGTAACCGCAGTCGCATATGATCATGTCGTGGTAAATAGGTCATTGTGGCCAATGCCGTTGATGCCACGACACCTTGACATCGTTCCCTTCCATTTGCCAAAGAGGCGTAATCGTTGCAAAGTTGACACCCGTCCTTCGATGCCTGCTCCCACGGTCTCACCGTCACCACAATGTGGCTTTGGGTCTTCCCATTGGTCACATACCTCTTGGTTGCCATTCCAATGCCTGTCTCGGTAACCTTGCCACCACCACCCTGTCCACGTGTCCCACCGATTGTATCCCCCATCGGTCTTGATCACAACCACAGCACTTAGTTGCTCCGAACCTCCACATTACCTAAACCTGTCCTTCCATGAAAGTCCCCGAGCATTCTCTGCACACACCTGCACTCAAAAGGCCACAAGCTTCTGGTTCAGTTGCTTTGTACTAAGAAACAGGTATTATTAGCACACACATATTTCATTGGGAGGAGCGGGGAGGGTTATGTGTCTTTAAAAATAGCAATGCAGTTGATTGTGCAACCGCTGAAATTAAGACAGCGTACACTACAAGTTGGCAGCCAGTTCAATACAGTACGCCGAAGCCAAATTGAAGGCAAGAGGGGCGGCATGGGGTAGAGACGTGGGCAGTTGATAATCAATCATTAGGAAACACACAAAGATATGCGGGCAGCAGTGATTCCAGCCAGCCTACAATTTAATAAAAACACTCCCAAGATAAAGCCTCCCGGTTGGTCTTCTGCCATCATCCGCTCTCAATTTCAGACAAAAATAACTGGAACATTTTTTTCACGGGACATCGCGTGCCTCCCACGCCACAAAATGTGCCTTCGAAATAGTTCCTGGGAAGCCATGGAGGGTATCGCTGCCCTCATGCATGCCCTCTCCGCTCCGCGCATGACCCAGCGTTCTCATGTCAAAGAGCCACCGCTGTCTTGGACATCCTGGGGCAGTTTAAAAGTAAGCTTTCGCGACCAATATTATTAATAGTAAAAGTTTTTGGGTGACATCACCTAAGTATAAATGTGTCGTAACCCTCCACCACCCGACACAGCCAATTAGTAAGGTATTTGTCACGTAAACAAGACTCATATTAGTTTCTACTTCAGCCCAACGGTGTGTTGAGTACGACGTTTCGCTGGTAATTACATCCAGCATCATCGGGAAAAATAATAGTCCCTGAGTTCTCTGACAATGATGCTAGTAATCATTTTAAACGTTATTATAATAATTTTAAACGTTATATATTTTTAAGAAAAAATACCCTTAAACGTTAAAAGTGGACTGTCTCTCAGAAGTGAAAGTGGGGCTGTTCTGCGACCCCCTCAAAGAGCTTACGAGTTAATTAAAAAAAGCGTGCGATTTCCAACGCTAGCCCCGGGTCTACTTAAACTCATCATCTCGCGAGGTTGCTAAACTAAAAATAAAAACATTCTGTGGGTAGTCAACAGTGGTTATCCAATGGGTTGGTCGACCGCAGTGGCATCCAGTGGGTGTTGCATATCGGTGGATGCACAGTAACCCGTGGGCGAAGTGACTCTTCGCCCACCACCCCCCCCCCCCCTGGCCCCCGCCATGGTCACGTGGAATTTCCCCCAAACGGGGCTCCTGTCGCCACCCAGGTCTGGGCTTTGCCCTCATCTACCAGTCGGCGAGCATCATGACCGCACGCTACTTCAAGTCGCGCCTCTCCACAGCCTACGCCATCTCGCGCTCCGGCATGGGCCTCACCTTCGCCCTTGCACCCTTCACGCAGATGTTGCTGGACAAGTACGGTTGGCGAGGTAGGAATTTTCTTATTTTTGAAACAAACTCCAGCCGCCCCCCCCCCCACCCCCCGAACAAAATCGATTCTGTCAATGTCGTTATTGGACGGCGACTGAGTGGCCCCGCAATGTTCTTCGCAAACGCCTCGGTGGTCTTTCGGTAGCCGCTGTGCCCCGGTCTCACGAAGCCTTTCGGAATCGGAATAATAAATATTTATCCCGGTAGCGGCGGGGAAGAACGTTACAACAACAAACAATACAAAAACGTGATATTAGTGCAAAGTACAAGAAAGTTAAACAAATCACCCAAACACATGCAAATACAACGAAACCATCCCCATCCTACCAGGCAAAAGCCCACTGAGGTATTAACTTATTTTTCAGAAGCAGCCTGACCACAAATGATAGCTCAACAAAGTGGCCCGTCATTTGGACATTTATAGCAGCAAAACAATCTAAATAATCTCCATGCGTGCTTCTAAATGTGGAGGGAAAAACCGGAGGACCTGGAGAAAAATCCACACGACCACGGGGAGAATACGCAAACTCCAAATGTACAGGCGTCAAGGTCGGAATAGAACCCCCGACCTCCTGGATAACAGGCGAGGAAGATAACGTCTCCTAGCCACCGTGGGTGAACTCAGCCCTGCCATAGGAAGGGAGAATTTGAACCAGTCGCTCAGGGCTGTAAACACGAGATGAGCACTGTCCCAGTGAATCTAACCGAGCCATTAACTGCTTCGATAAAAACAGAATTTCGTTCATTATTAATTCGAATGTACTATTGATGTTACCTTGTTTGCAAGGTTGCGGAGGGAGAAAATTCTAACTCAGGGTTTAAATTGTGCGACTGCAACCGATGCAAGTACGAGCACAGTGCCAGCATCACCATAACGGAGATGAATACATTTTGTGCAGATGATGTGATATAAGAGTCATGAGTAGGAGTAGTTTTAATTAATCATGCAGATCTACATTCCACAGAGTGAATAGACAGAGTTGTTTACTAAGCTCCGATTGATTTTCCCAAATGCCGGCAACTGCAGGCAAAACACGAATGACATTTGTATAAATGTCATTCGTGTTTTATAAATGTCATTAGGACATTGCCCGAGATAGTTGATGGCAGATTTTACAAACACAATACTTTCAGAGACGGTATCCATATATATACCATCATTTATTAATTATACTATTTCTTCCCCTAAATGAAAATGGACATTCATTGGAAACGCACTTCCCTAAAATGACACTGTGCTTAAAAATACACTCGATGAATCAGAGAATATTAAAATCTACTTTCTCAACTTTGACAATGAGCGACATTAAATGAACGCGTCTGGGAGCAATTCTAGTTCGCGTGAAAACAATGCAGCATGTTGCACAAGTTACACACGTGTGCACGAGTTACACACGTGTGCACAAGGTACACACGTGTGCACAAGTTACACACGTGTGCACAAGTTACACACGTGTGCACGAGTTACACACGTGTGCGCATGCCTGTCCTGCCCGTTTCTCAACCCACTGCTGGACGAGGGCCTCCCTTTCGCTGTGTGGGTCGTGGGGGCTGTTTGAACATCCTTCACCCTGCTGGTCAGTGCGGGGTTGCCGAAGGCAGCGTATGAATGCGTGGCAACGGTGTGTTTTTTTGCTACACTAACGTCTGTTAATGTGCTCTCTTCTCCACGCCACGTGTGCACGCGTCCTCTGCCACCGCCAGGAGCCCTGCTAATCCTCGGCGCCCTCATGCTGAACTTGATTCCGTCTGGAATGTTGCTCCGACCGATCCACCTGCTGGACGACCTCGGTTCGGCACAAATCGAAAAGTCGGCGCACGGACCGGGGAACGAAGACCAAGCGGGCGACATCGCCATCGTGTGCCCGGCGCAGGGGGAACGGCGCGGAGCGGCAGAGCAGGAGCAGAATAGGTGGGATGCTGCCCCCGTGCTCAACGCCGCGCACACTTACGAAGGCGGCGATGCCAGCAGCGGGAGGAGGACAGGCGTCGACACTGGAGAGAGCACGGATCTTCCCAACGGAGGCGGAAAGGGCCCCGCTGCCCCGCCGGGGCGGAGGGCGACGCCGACCCGGGCGGGGTCGCCGTGCAGCGACGGCGCCTCCCGTGGAGCGGAGGCGGAAAGCGAAAGGCGCCGCACGGCCAACTCCGGCAACAATCCGCAGCGCGTGAGCGCGAGGCGCAAGTGCCAGCGCGTGCACGTGGAGGTTGCTGACGAGAGGGGGGCGACGTCCTGCCCGCCTTGCGGTGGGCAAGAGCCGAAGTCGGAGGAGAAACTCCTGGACATTTCGCTGCTCAGGGAACCGCTGTTCCATGTGTACACGTGGTCTGTGGTGTTCAGCCAGCTGGCATACTTCATTCCATACTTCCACTTGGCAGCGCGGGCACAGACGCTGGGCATCGATCCAATGAAAGCATCACTTATCATCTCCATGGCAGGTGAGCCAAGAGCGGGTATCTGAGCAAACAACAACTACAGATGACGAGGTTAATAGGTGTATTACTGAAGTTAAATTATTTATTTGAACATGCCAGTTATCTCAATTTTTGGAACTCAAGATCTCCATTAAGGGGCAGTAATAAATTTAGTGTGGGGCAGGAGTCTCTGATGTAATTTTTTGGACATCGGATTTTTTTACACAATTTAGGATTTTGTTTCTTTTGTATTCATTTTGAAGTGCATCTTTTACGACTTTTATTCTTTGTGCACTGAATAAAAAATAATGTCAAACATTACATTCTTATTTTATTTTTTTACGTAAAGTTCCACCGTAAAACAACACGTTTAATGTGAAAAAGAATACGTTTTAATAATTTGAGCAAAATTTCCGTCACGTGATGGTACTTTTGGTGAGGATACCACGACAGTTGCGTTGTGGAAGTGACGGAACTCCTTTAGACGTCATATTTTTGGATACATCTGAAGCAAACTTTTTTTTCCAGACTATTTGAAATTTCATATCCAAGCCCAATTTTGGGATTTTTCAGGTGAATCCCAAAAACTTGGAACACATGCCTATTTTGCTTTTGTTAACACAAATACATTTTAGCAGCCTGGCTTGCCCAGCTCATGTGAACACGTCATAGAACATCGGAGTGTTGTTGAACCCCGCTCTGAACTTCACCGACACGTTTGCTGTTCAGGATTTTGGCAGGGCGTCAATTAGGCAACAGAGCATACGGGATACTGCAGGTTGCAATCACACGTCCAGTCGTTTCAGATGGTGCGAAAGATGGACGAAAGATGTGCCCTATTTAATTCCCGTCACGATGAGTGTATGCCGCTTGCGTCCAAACCGGCTGCGGTGCTCAATGAGAGTGTAAACACCGCAACCACATGCGGCACCACCGCCTTACTCCAAAAATAAAAGCGTGCGCTTTAAATATAATTTGGCACTCTGTCCAACTGTGTTTTTTTTTTTACGAGACATAGCGACCCTTTTCGGAATGCAATAAAAAATGCCGGTACTTTTCCCATCGCGCATTTATCCGTCGCGTGGTATTGAAACCCAATGTGGACAGATGTTATGTGGCCAAATTTAGAACACCCTCTAGGACTAAAATCAAGTGTGCTTACACAATGAATTGAGTTGTACATCACGTGCTGCCCAGTGGCGTTCCGCACCGATATCTATTGCGTACTGTATCTCTCTCCAAGAGTGAAAGATCAAGAATGCGAGTGCCTGCCAACTGAGGCAACGCACTTTAGACATCCACCAAGATTTGTGAAAATGAATTATAATCGTAATAGTTGACAGCCCTTTGTCGATCCAGTGTTGGGTGGAAGGCCTCCCCAAGCCATTGTCAACAAAGGGCAATTGTTTGACTTTAGTTTATCACGTGCATCAGCGCAGGCTGCTGAATTATGGGGGCCCGGGACTGGTTCGGATATTTTTTCACCACCGATGTTAGCCGTGGCTGGGAATTCAACTCAAGTCACCGGGTTGACTACCCCAATCTGCCCCGCTGCCTCCTCTGAGACTGAATAAATAGTTTAATTTAATTGCAAAAGTGCTGTTTGTACTGTAGTTTACTACAGACTTGGTTATCAGTACAGTGTTAAAAACAGGACATTACTGTACAGGGTACTTCAAAATTTATTTAACACTTCTGAGAATTTGCAACAACACCACAAGAAATGTGCTGCTGCCTCCAGGCTCTGGAGACCACCTGGAGAGGACTCCAGGCACGTGTTGACAATAATAGCGAACAAGTGGAGACTCTTTGACTTTTTGAAGCTATTAGCATTACATTTGTTATCACGTTACAGTGTATTATCCGATCCTTTTCCATTAAAAAAAAACGATAGTCCCATTTAAGTGTTAACATTTTTTGAAGCACCCTGTATAATTAAAAATATATATCGGACACAAATGTATTTTATTCCACAACTGCTCTCTGCATGGCATCGTTGCATGAAGGTTCTTTTAGAACAAGCAAGGCAAAATGCAACGCCTCTCACAGTACTCAAAATGTTTTCGATTGCAATCAAATAAAAGAGGTGTGGAAATATCAATAAGAAAAACACAATTTGAGCTGGTCGGATTGTAAATTCAGTGTGTCCTTGAAATACCACGCAAATTCAGGTGTGGGGTGCCCTGGTATAGCCACACTTTTTTTAGTAGTTTTTTTTCCCATGAAGACCACAGAGACCCTATGTAGCCCATTTACACCTCGCAGAGCAATCCGATCGTCATTGAACAACCCGATACAGTACTGGTACAAATCGGGTGGAGGAGGGTGTACAACACACATTGACATTTTACCCGCCAAGTTCTGGCCCAACAAATCCGATATCAGTCATAATTGTGAGTGGCGAAAGCCTAAGTGTTACGTTTGTAGCGTTGTTAATATTGCTTTTTAGATCATGAAACATATATAAAGCAACATTGAGGATCAAAAAGACACCGCTGAACCACCTCGAGTCATAACCCCATTCGGCAGCGCACAATCCAATGCTGCAGTAGTTATTGTAAAGCGCATTACTAAACTGGGACTGCATGGATAATCATGTTGCTGTGCAGCGTGGAGACACGGATAATAATTCAGCCAACAACAATTTCTGAGCTTTGGGGGGGGGGGGGGGGGCGATGCAATTTTAACAAAAATAATCCATATTTTCTGTTTCAATTTTAAGGGGTACCCAGAAAAACGCCCCTTACATGTGAGACACGGCATTCAGCCACTGTATCTCAAGGTAACCCTTTAATACTGTGTCCTCTGGACAACAATGCTCACGATGATCTCGGGTGCGATGATCATGGCTGCCCCTCCCTGTGTTCCTTGTCATTCAGGAATCACAGAGACGTTGACGCAGTTGGCATCTGGGTGGGTGGCCGATCGCAATTACGTGCCCAAGATTCGCTACCTGACGGTCTACCTGCTGCTGTGCGGCATCACAACGCTGCTCTCTCCCTTAGCCACCACCTTCACGAGCCTGATGGCCTACGCCATCGTGTTTGCCATCTTCTGCGGGGGCTACATGGCCCTCCTCCTGCCTGTGCTGGTAACTGACGTCGGCCTTTAGACTGAATCACCGTGAAATGTGCCCCAATCACATTCAGATTTTAGAAACTGAGCAGGGTTGACCCTGGATAGGGCTTGGATGAGCGACCAACATGTGCGCACAGGGATCTTGTTGTTGGGCTGTTGGGGCTATGTGGTGGGCAGCAAAAAGGGCAATGCAGCAATATACATTATTGCGCTGCACTTCCATGCACCCACATCTATGCTCCCCAACTTCAGAAACCGCGTTGATCAGCGTGGTGAAGTATGGTTAAGCAACCCCTACGACCTGCATGGCATGGGGTGGCCCTCAACCAGCAGTGCTTTGACAAAGGGGCTATATATATTCCAAGCTAAATTATAGTAGTCATTATTTAAAGTTTTTTTAATAGATCTTCCTCTGAATAAAATGCACGGTTGATATTTTTGATTAATCAGTCTGCATTTAAGGACAATAATTTTAGCAGTATTATCAAGCTTCGTATCTTAAACCATTTAATGACTAGGTAGGTGAGATATTTCATTCGATATTTTTTTACAGGTAAGGCCCACCAAACTATACAGCTCTTTTTCAGAAGTGACATTTTTTCAACTAATTCATGAGTTTTAATTTCGGAGAAAACCAGTGCGCCCGGGGAAACCCATGGTGGGTGTTCTATCCAGTGCAGAGGGATGAGTTGAAGTCCACATTTTCTGTACCACCTTCTCCTGGCGATCCAGGGCATACTGTAGCAGCTCCTCGACGCCCACGGGAAGGGAGTTTCACAGCCATTGCGTTGTCCACAAACCCTCGTCCCCACAGCGCCGGAAACACAGACACGCGCCACCACTGCTATCGCGAATAAAGTGACGAAAAAAATATCAATATATTTTTTAGCTTGGCAAAAATCTTGTGTTTCCAATTTAAGTGCGTTCAGTCAAGTCTGTCACTGCAGAGATCTCTTGCAGTGACAGCAGTCGCTGCGGTGTGCGTTCATGTCTTGACCCGTAAAAAGAAAGTATTTGAAAGTTTCGTTCGGGCCTTGCTTCAATGTACGGCCGAAAAAACAAGAAAATTGTTATTGAATAATCCGGCACAGCCCCTTTTTAAAATTTTAGTGCAAGAGTAATTTCATGAATATCAGAACTCACATTTTCAAGGTTCTCCTTGGAAATTAATATTAAATAACATAACTCTACTCATACTACAGCACTGAACTAGTTAAACACACATGAAATTGCTTTAATCATTAAGACATGCTTTAAAAAAACACTCCTATTCTTAAATTCCTCTATTGACTATCAAATAAAAAACATCTTGAGAGGCAAGTATGTGCAAGTGATGCAACTCTCGCACAATCGGGCGCTTTATCAATTACAAAATCTCACTTTTTGTAAAGATGAAATGTAAAATGCGCATGCTTGTTTTTTTGCCAAGCTGATTAAATACATTCCTTGAGCAGCCTTGTTAAAATGCACTCCATCCCCTAACCTCGCACACAAGCACCATTCATCGCACGGGATTTACCAGCGAAGGAAATGCTGCCAATTGCCACACTAATCACTCAATCGTGGCTGCACTCTCGAAACCTACGCAGAGTACGTGTGTATGTTGCACTTCTTTGGCGCCGTACGCAGCCAACCGTGCGAATCGAAGGTGCGGGTACGCGTCGATGTACAGCCATTATATGTATACATGGGGTCAAATCTACCCGCGCGATCCGCACGGATCGGAGAGGCCCTCGTCGATTGGTGGAATTGAAAAAAATGACCGTACAGGTGAATACTTAGTAGCAATAATGTGGATATATAAAAATAATCGATGTCTCTCACACGACTACAAACAACATGTAACAGGTGCCCGACGCACACAATCAATGGCAGACCGTGTATAGAAATAACCTTTCCGAGCACGAGAGAGATTTAATAGCGCGATAGCGGACAGGCGTTTAAAC